CACACTCCTAGTCTAGGTCTACACTGATAGCCTAGTAGGCTCAGTTGACCGCGGATAAGCAAGTCTCGGCAAATCTCGCGCAAATCTGAATATCTACGGCTGTTATCTAACCTACTAATTACGGCGGTTACTCAATAAGTCATTCGGGTGTAACGCTGTAACCCGCGCGCATTTAACCGCCAACCGCTAATTTAACCGCCAACCGCTAACTACCGGTTATCGTCGAACCCCCGTCGACGTCACCCAAGAGATCGCGCACACTAAATGCCCGAATCTCAACAAGAACAATATAGTGGCACCTCGCTTGTGATGCAGCTCACTGGGTTATCGATGTACGAAAAGGACGAATTTTCCAAGAGTGCCGGAACATTGGTTCGTGTTATGTAAGTTGCCAATAGGAGCCAAAGGATCATTACGTAGGACAAACATCGATCATACCGACAAGTTTTGGAGAGGAATGTCGAAAAACAGATAGAAACCATGTTCAACTCGATTAAAGATCATTGCTCATATGCGCATGACAATACGCGGATCTAGAGGCCGTACCGGGCAAGAGGTGGAGATCCATGTAGATTCGGCATAAGATTGTTGTTTTCAATCTCCAGTTGCAAGTTTGACCCGTTCATTACAGTGTTAATCCACTCTGGAGACCTTTACAATTGCAAGTCGAGTCTCAACGGATCATTGGACCGTTTGCAGGGTGAATTGGAAGAGGCGGAACGTGTGACTTCTCTGCAACCGCCGAAACGAGTGAAGCAGCCTTCAAACGAGAAAAGCCTGGGCTTCAGCCGCGAGCGAAATGAAAGCCCAAACCAAGCAAGTTTTGATGGACGGTTTGGAACGAGAAGCAGAGAATGGACGGTCCCGCAAGGGAGGACCTGCAAGAACCGCAGATCGTAAGGTGTCAGCAGAATGGAGAAGGGACGACAGCGCTCAATAGTTTGAATCAGTCGCTCAGCGCCCTTCAAGTGCCGGCCGAGGAAGACGATTGGGCGTTGACGCGCCTCGATTGGGATCATGATCAGGGCTCAGTAGGAGCTGCGGACACGGACGCCGAGAAGAGTGCTTCGGCAATGGAGGAAGAAAATGAAACGCCAACTTCACTAGCGAAACTCATCCAAGGGACAGAATCCGAAACAGACGTCAGGAGAAGGCCCTCAGAGAGCAGAACCGGAATCGAAACCTCGACAGGACGGAAGGGTTGGCCGGAGCAAGAGCCGTGATGTGAGATACGGTCCTTGTCACACCCGTTCCTTTACGGAAGCGGAATACCGGGTTTGGAGGCGGAACTCACACATGCTGAAGCCCCTGTTCCGGCGGAACTTCCTATCTCGGCGGAAGACAAGACAAGTCCATGCGAGAGCTTAAACGAATTGGACATGCGGACAACGGACCTGCTCCCGTGGGCGCAGACGAGCCTCAAAGATATCGCACGCCCCCAATCGCCATTGTGGAGCAGAAGCGGAACGCGGGACGCCAAAAGCGGGATGTCCCGGGGCCCGAAGAGCGGAACAGAACGGGCACGAAGCTACGTACGAAAGGAGAGCGGAACCATGACGGAGCCGCAAATTCCGCAAGGCCGACGTCGGCTAAGCGAAACTCAAACAGTTGGCAGAACGGACAGTGAAGACGGCCGTAGCGGAATCGGAACCCGAAACGCCACGCAGCTGCAGGCAATGGAACAATTCCCGTGGCGTGCCGGTGAGGGCTTCCCAAGGGAGTCCTAGGATCCTTGGGCGAGCGGCGGAGACGGAACGCCGGATAGCCCCGGGCCGGTTGTGTTGATACGGGCAGAGCGGGACAAGGATTGGGAGAAGCCCTGACCCAAGTGATAGCGGAACGATGATTGAGACGCAGAATCTCCGGGTGAGAATTACCATAACACAGCGAGTTACCGGGGCGGCATGTGAAGACAGCCCGACCGGGACCCCAGAGATGGAACCGGACTCACTCGGACGACTCGCAGCGGCTCTCCCAGCGGAATACTGTGCGAACAGCGAAAACGGAACGGGGACGCGCAGACGAAGCTACTCCCTTGGGCGCAGGCGAGCCCGTCGGAGATTCGCTCTCGAACGTCATTGAAGAGCGAAACCGAAACATCGGTCGGTCCGAGAAGGCTCTTAAGAGACGCGCAGAGCGGAACAAGACCCGTGCAAAGTCCTCATGGAGACGTGAACGGAAACAGAACGGACCCGCAGAAAGACGAAGTCGGGCTCATCGGTGCGAAAAGAGGTGCTGGGACACCAAATGTGAACAGCTGGATCGGAACCCGAACCCGGAACGGGACGCAACAGAACGCAACGGAACAGTCCCTTTGGCATGCCGCTGAGGGCAGCCCAACGGAGGAGCTGGATCCGTGGGCGGGGTGTGGAAACGCAACGCCGCCACCCCAACGGAGCTTTTAGAGGAACAAGCTAGCCTCCAGATGCAACACGGAAGAAACCCCAACCGAAACGAGACATTGCACGCTTGAGATGGGCGGAACTCCGACACCGACCAGCCCAGCGAAGTTGCTTGAGAATCCGCTCGAAGGAACAGGACAAGACGATAGCGGAACAGGAACGGAGTCGGCATAGGGTATGTTGATGTTGATGAACAAGTTCTTGCTTGGTCAGGCATAGGCGCCGCCAGGACAAGCGGCCAAAGCCAAACATACTAAGCTCAAGGCTATTCTAGCCGTGCGCGCCTGCTCGTGGATCCGCGCAAGTATGTGACTCACTAGCCTAGCTCACAGTCAACGCAATCTTAACCTTCGATATCCTCATCTACGGCTTACAATGACGGCCGCTCTCAACCGCCTAACCTCCAAACCGCCTAACGGATTAACCGTCCAACCGCCGTACACGCACGCCGGCGCTCACTGATTCAAACCCTAACTCGGGCCGAACCCTAAGCACAGTAATTCGGCTGACGATAATCACCGACTTCTAACAATGACGGAGTGGGCCGTCTCGTTTTTGAATGTGCCCCGGCTGAAATCGGGGAAGAGTTGGTTGTTGAGAGGGCCCTTCGTCACCACTAGGTCCGTTGTCGTCTGCAGCGCGTGGTCGATGTCCCTGCGCAAGACTCAGGAGAAACGTGTTTCTCAACAAGATGCGGATTGCGTATCAGTTAAGCTCGATAGTCAAGCTTCTGTCAAGTCGTGTTTGCAACCCTTCGCTTTGATTGGTCCTGGTCGATTCTGAGAGTGCATCCCATGGTTCCGGTTTGCTTCGGTTGTTTCTGACAGGCAACCCTTGTTTAAAGTGCAGGCATTCACTCACTCTTTGAGATCTTTCATAGGTCAGGGGCGGCGCACTTCCTCGGAGCCGTCGTTACCTGGCGAAATCCGGTTCTCGCAAGAGTCGGCCGCCTCCAGCCGCCGCCAGTGGACCGGATCCCCCGAGCGCACCACTTCGCCTCCTCCCGCTCGTAAGTACAGCAAAATGGTCGCTCTTGACAGCCGGGGGATCGTTGCTTCTCATCCCAACGTTCTTCACACTCCTCTGTTCGTGCTCCGTTCATTCATAGTTTTAGCTTGTTCGTCAGGTTGTGACGATTCGTGTGTATTGACTGCATACCGAACTCGCCACAGTATTTTACTGTGCGCCTATTGGTGATTCTGATCTGGTCGTATACGCATTCCGGTTCCGTTGCGTTCCGTTCTGGTCTGTCGCTACATGCCCGGAAGCGGATCACGTGCTACTCTGACAATCTGACACGATACCGGTTTATTGCTGTGTCATGATTTGACAGCCGAGATGCCGCATATCTTTCAGCATGTACGAGTCTGTGCGTACACTGTATAATGCATGGCGTGAATGTTGTGACATTGCGTGCATGGAATCTGAAGCCGAAGGTCCGCCCTGAAGCTTACCTATTGGAACTACTGGTCTGACTCTACACTTCTCTTAGTAACTGGACACGCTTGCGAGCAAGGTTCCAAGTCCACGAACAGGAAGGAGGAGGACACTTCTGTAGTTACAATTTCTGGAAGAAGGGCGCTCCTCGGTTTTCATGGCTACCGCATAGGCGACAGTAATCTTCCGTGCATACTCTGATCGCATTACCCTGCTTATAGCTCATAGCTTTGGGTGAGCGTCACACTGGTATCAGAGGTGAACCCTTTCACCTTTGTTTTCTGTCGCTTTGCTCTCTAGCGCATGGACGAGAGGGTGCTTCTTTTAATCCTCAAGTGGGGCTATCGGATATCTGACCTTAGGAAGCTTCTTGGGCGCCGCATTAGCAAGAAGCTAGACGCATATGTTACTGAGGTGATCTTGGAGCGCGTCAAGGCTAAGGTCATGTACATGACAGAGGTGGCATTGGCCTTGTCACGAATCAGCTGCAACAGCAGTAGTGCTTATAGGCAGTCCGATTTCAGTCTGGGCTTGCTGGGGCAGTTCTTCCACCGTCCATTTAGAAGCTGCTGGCCTGGGTGGGCTCCGCTAGCAAAGAGCGAGGCAGAAGAGAACTCGCTCTGGGTGGTTGAAAAATTTCCCTATCAGCTCCATAGGAGTAATGATGATCAGCCCTCTGCTCCTCCTCCCCCTTCTCCCCCTTCTCCCCCATTAGATCCTCTCCAGTTTCAGCGTTTGGGCCCGGATCTCAGGTTCGCGGTCCTCAAGCAGTGCAGTGCCCAGACCTTCTGCAAGTTCATAGGTGGAAGGATTGAGAAGGATTTCTGCGGGGATTGCGAGAGGGCTCTCAGAGCTGTGCTAGAGGAGGAGGTCCTGGCGATCGTGCACCGGGCATTGGCGTTGGACCGGCTAGCTCGGGTCCAGGAGGTGGATGGCAGGCAGTACTTGAGATGCTTCAGTACTAGGCTCAGGGATTTCCCTTCCCCTGTCAGGCCCCCAGTCCACGGTAGACAGTACCCTAATCGTCGCTCTAGTTACTCGGGCGAGCGTGCTGCTGGCTGGGATAGCGATTAGCTTGCCCCAAGGTACTTAGTCTGTTCTGTAAATAGATGAGTGGCAGGTCTAGAGGACAGGACTTTCTGACAGATATCAGCTCCCTGGTAGGAAGGGTTAGAACCTTAGAGCTCGTTACATTTGGGGAGGACGAGAGCCCTCCCAGTGTACAGCCCAGTGTACAGGAGTGCATTGTAGTAGGCGAGATATCTGTGCCTGTCTCCTCGTCATTGTCGGCAACAGCTGCCGCCTTTGCACCCGCTGCCATCTCTGTATCTGTTCCTATCTCAGTACCCGTTGCTTGTG